TTTCACGCCACCCAAGGACAGCTTACAAGGACAAATAAAACAGAAGTTCTAATAAATAACAGCAAATAAAATATGAAGGTACACTTCCGTAAACAGGAAGGTCTTCAGTCAAGATTTAAAAACCTAAGTATCATTGCTGTCGCGGATTTTATCGGAAAGATGGTTCCACTGTGATGGAGTTGAACAACTAAAGGCGAAGCTCCATTCGACAATTTAGAAGGAGGTGGAAGAGAAAATGAAATGAAAGAGCAAGAATGGAAAGTGAATGGACAGAAGGTCTCTTAACCCTCCTGTTACCCCAAAATCTACAAGCATCTTTTTCCACTGGAGTCAATTTTACCCCACCAATTTAAAATCACCAGAATATGATTTGCTAAAAAATTTGTGTCAGTTAATTGATGTCTTTGTTGACTACTTAACAACGCTCTGAAATACCCCCACCCTCACATATCCTGCCCTTTATAAATACAGATTACTTATTTCAATACTAAAATGTACAAATCAGTATGAAAACTCAGTTTCAAGTAAAATTGGAAATATATATTTTATGATGTTTTATTAGTTTCAAACTTTGTACAGTGGTACCTTCAGATACGAAATTAACCCATTGCAGGGTGGAGTTTGTGTCTAGAATTTTTTGCATGTCAAAGCAAATCAGAGAACTTTTCTACAGTCCTTAAATCTACATATTGTAATAAATGACCATAAAACCGAATAAATTAAATGCAATGATATGTACACAAATATAATGTGGCAAAGTGTCAGAGGAGGTGGAACGGATGGTAGAAAATGACAGTACATACGAAAGTTAACTTTCTCTAGATATTTAACGAATTTCAAACACCAACATGAAACCAAGCACATGTGTAGACAGTACCGAAGGCATGTGTGAAGGAATGGAGAAAGTTATAGATATGAATTGCACAGCAGAACTGTTTGTTTTTTGTATCTTTGAATTTTCTTCGTATATCAAAGCAAAAGATTTCCAGAGAGACGTATCTTGGATTTTTCGTAACGTGAACCATTCGTATCTCAAGGTACCAATGTATTAATATAAATTTTTGTTTTTTATAATATATGAAAATAATAACACTTTCTTTTAGCAAAGACTGGAACATAATCATGTTTGGGATCAATTTGACACCAAGAAAAAACTATTTCAAACCTTTTATACACGTCTGTGCAAATCAGTCAAAACAAAGTTTTTTTCCAGCTATTCCCATAGACACCCTTCCCCTCTATGTTGTTCATTTCAAATATATCATTTTAAGTGATAATGAAAACCTGAAATGTCTTATGTCTTGAGCACATCTGGTGGGTTTCAATGACATTAGTATCACTAAGTCAATGCTATCGTTTAAGTGGGGAGTGGGACATAGTAATTTTCCATTTTTGGAAGGCAATGCTGGTGGTTGAGAGGTGCTTGTTCCCTTTGGGGGTCATGGGCAAGAGGCGGGGGTACACCCCAGACAGGTCGCCAGTCCATCGCAGGGCAACAAACTGACTTACACATTCACACATATGGGGAATTTAGTTTATTCAATTAACCTAACCGCATGTTTTTTCATTTAAAAAAAGCTTTGTATTCTGTGTAAAAAGTAGTATTTTGAAATGCAGGTTCTGGTGTGGCAGAGTGATGTTAAGTTTTTGTTATGACCCTGGATGGCAACATTCTGAACCAGTTGAAGTTTAAATGAATTTAATAACTTCACTAGTAGGTCATAAAACAAAGTGTTGCAAAAGTCCAGGCAAGAATAAAATAGTATTTAATTATTCGTTCTAGAAATGGAATTTAATAACTTTGCTAATAGGCCATAAAACAAGGAGTTGCAAAAATCCAGGCAAGACAAAAAAAAATATTTATGCGCTTATTTATTTGGCTTTTTTTTAATTAATTAATTAATTAATTAATTAATTAATTTATTTATTTATTTATTTATTTATTTATTTATTTATTTATTTATTTATTTATTTATTTATTTATTTATTTATTTATTTATTCTGGAATTCAAACTAAATTCCTTTGTACCCATTAATCTGTGTGAGGTTGTACAATGGTTTTGTGTCTTTTCTGGAGATTTGCATTATCCCTATTAAACTTCAGGTCAGTCTCAAGAACTTCCACAGCTGCTTGAAGCCAAGGATTGATAAAACCTCTAGGAGGCCTGAACAGCAAAGCGAGTGGATAAACGCGCCTCTGCATGTGCATCCACTATTTCCGATAACTTCACACTGAGCACAAATGGTCAAAAGCCCTCTGTAGTAGCCTTCAACACCGCCCGCTAGCAAGGGTTCATTTGCATGAGGTGCTCGCATCAGCTCTCCCCCACACTCTCCCTCATGCACTGACAAATAATTTGTGCTGCAATGAAACTGAAGCATAATTACAAAAGCATATTAATACGTTTGGCTTGCTGTGCATTGTTGCAAGCACAGAAACGTGAAATTAGCGTGGGTTTAGCAGCTTTCTTACTGTTTGTAGAATTATTTTTGAGCACTTTAGTGTGTTGCTGTGGCCTTTGACTGATTAAAAGTGACAAAAACAGTGTGTTTGAAGAGACTGGCATCCTCTTGTGTTGTGCAGTTTTGAAGAAGCCAGCTCATTGATGCGGCTGGTGCTGTTTTCTGCTCCCATGTTAACCTCTCAAGCACCACTTCAGTCTCAAAATCAAACTCTGCGTTATCATGACCCTGATCCAAACCCTTGTCTTCTCTGTTTTCACAATCATAAGTGTAAACATGATTATTAATTCAACAGGGCTTGTGGAAATATGATACCCCCCTGTTAGGCTATTGTTGCTTAACTAAAAGACAGAAGCACTAAGGTAATGTTATTTATGTGCTTGATTGGTGCATGTAATTAGTGTGTGAGTGTATAAGCAGTTTGTGGTAGCTCCACACGTCATAACATCTCTGTTGGTATCATTGCGGCAATAGCGAAAAATTCTGATCCACAGCACAGCTTTATAGGAACTTATTTTCATACACAGGAGAGTTCTGAATACATTAAACGCAGCTTCAAAACTTTTCATTTTGATTCAAATATGATTTTGATTCATCTATTAAAGACAGCGTATGGGCTATTAAAAAAGTATAAGCCCTGTTACAAACGTTTGTTTTGAATACTTTATTTTACAAGTATTTATTAAAAAGTTTGTATTAAAAATGAGGTAAATATTTTTTTTAAGACAAAACAAATAGATAAATAAAAACACTGTATTAAACTGCACGTAGAGATCAAGTGTATCAAATGCCTTCCTGTTGCTTCATGGTTTTAACCACCTTTGAGTTTTCACATTAGGCTGTGACTGTGAAAAAAATAAGATCTGCTCACTTTTAACTCCCTAGCAGTGTTGTTTTTGGCAGCAATCTAAGTTTTAGTCTTTTTGACGAAAAATATTATACTTTTATTCACATTTTAGTGATTTAAAATGTAATAGTAGTTTAAAATCAAAATTATTTTAGTGTATTTCTAGTTACTGAAAAATAAAAGGGTTGTAGTGTAGTAGATTAATATTTAGTTGAGTAAAAAGAATTGCAAAGTTATATATATTTGGCAATTGTGGCTTCTTTTTACAATTATCTAAAGCGCAATAAACATATGTGTGGCAAAAAATAAGAACAATAGCAGAATAAAACCAAGAATAAATTCCCTGAAACACACTGTGGCCACAAAGTATCTGCAAAAAGCACAGAAAAAACAGAACCAATCTCTAGAGGCACCTGATTGATTATGAATTCATAGCAAGCTTATGTTTTGCACATAACTCCAGGCCAAAATAGGCAGCTAACTTTATTAACAAACGCCCGTTGCAGTCTATGGTTTATTAGCTTATGTTTGTGTTATTACCACAATTCCTCTGGTGTGTTTATTTGCATTTAGCCTTTTGTCGTTTCCCACCACAAAGCCCTTTTGTTGATGCTGCCGTCATGATCCCCAAAAAGAAAGATAATTTTCATGTATGTCACCTTGGGAGTTGGGGCCGCAGGAGAGTTGAGACCGCATGCCTCATGCTCTGTTCAATGTGTGGGCAGCGTGTCCAGTGGTGTGTGTGACCAGACAAGGATAACAATCGGCGGTGGGTACTTTATATTTTGAATGACAGATTACAGAATCAGAAATCTCTTGAATGTGAACCGTTCACTCAATAACATTTTTGTTCACTCTCGTTTCTGTTAACAAAAACTTGTGCAGGTCACGTCATGTTTTTTTTGACATAACAGTGACATATTTAACTCCTCAGCCTCTCGTTAGCATCACAATGATAAAGGTTAGTCAACTATTGTTATCATCACTGTTGACCTAAACAACACTGCATCCTAGGGCTCCAAGCAGATGTCGAATGGCTAAGTTGTAGCAGCGTTGTGTTTATGATGAAACATCGAAACTAAGAAGACAAGTACACAAAAAAGAGTAGTTTCATGTTGTAGGGGCCATTTAATGAGACTGAGTTTGTTGGCTATTGCATAAAATTGGTGTTCCTCAGAGTATCAGATTAGAAATACTACGTATTTTGAGTAATGTGAGGAGGAGTGTATTTGAGAAAGGGGAGGGGTCCAGCCCAATGTCCGTACTCTGTAAGATGCTAGAGTGGAGGCAAAGACTGCCGTGACTCTCAAACACAAAGCTGCTAAAAGCTGCTATCGTACTGGGAGCACTTACCTGAGTCGAAGTATAGGCTGCTAGGATACTGGCCCAAATATTTCCAGTTGAAAGATCTGCTTTTCTAGCCAAATTAAGTCAACCTCTTCAGAGTTTAGTTATTATGTTTATTTTTCAGTTTGTAATTCACATTTTTTTTTGTTAGTGTGTTGTGTTTTGTTTTATGTATTTATCATTTAGTTTTGGTGCCTAGTGTAGGACATAAAAATCTCCACTGTGCAAAATATTCCTGCCTAAGCCTCATCTTACACGAGAGCCTCCAGTCCCTGGAATTTGTGGCGCAATGTTTCTTTTCTCTACAAAGTTGGTAAGATGTGCGCAACCGAGCGCTTCTTTACATCTTGTGGCTTAGTTGGTAGAGCATTTGGCCAACAACGAAAAGGCTGTGTGTTCAAATCCCAAGGAAAGCAAGTTAATTGCTTGAAATGTAAGTCACTTTGGATAAAAGTGCCTGGCAAATGCATAAATGTAAATGTGAATGTCATCAAGTCATCAAAGGAGCCGGGTTTCATTAATCATTTCTCTCTGCGAAAAAACGGATCTGAAATGGCAGTGCGAAATAGTCTTTTGTTGGAACCACTGGCCCAGTTAGCTATGTGGTGTCCAGCTGGCACCCACAGTTTTCAATTTTGGCTCGTTGTCACATAAAATTTCAGACCACATCTTTGTATCGGTGTGGAGAGGCCTTGAAAAAACAAACATTTTTCAAAATTTCACTATTTTTGACCAGCTAAATTTGGTGACTTCTCAAGCCTGTTTAGGCCGTCAAAAGTACAATCAATTATGGAAGAAGATGCAGAACACCTGCTGGGAAGGCATAGGAGCATTCCTTTTAAAACACATGTGCTGTCTTTTGTTGGAAAAGTTTGTTTTCCCTGCCAAGAGAAAAGGCTAAAGTCACGTCTGAAGTAATTGAAGCCATGTTGACTCTTCATTATCATTAAATTCACTACAAAATTATGATGAACTGTTGTACTGGAATGATGATGGATGTTCAATCACTGACACACGCCGCACGCTATAATCAAATCACAACAAACTGGGCCACACTGCCAGCAATCAGTGTAGATTTAGTTACAGAAAGGAGAAGTTTAGAAACACAATTCACTACAATGATCTCTGGATGATGCTTAGTAGAGTCGTCAGTATATATAATAAAACATTTCTTGGGGATAACTAAAAACACACTATGAGATTTGTTAGCTCCGTAATAAATGTAGATGTTTCTTTGAAGTACCCACAATAAAAATGTATAGTATCTTCCATTAAATTAGATTGTTTGGGTTATTTCTTTCTAAAATAAAATTATTACTAGCATTATTACTGTTCAATTCAAACTTACTCTCCCATTTATTCCGATTGTATATATTTTTTCTTGCATTACATTACATTTATGTATTTAGCAGATGCTTTTATCCAAAGCGACTTACAGTTTAGGAGTAAACATAAGAAGTTTGTTACAAGGTCGGATTAATCATAAGACATACACATAGAAGACGTTTGAGCTGATACAGAAAAATAAGTTCAGTGCTTCAGAGGGTTTTTTTTCTTGCCTCTTTCTTCTTTTATTCATTTATTTTGTTGGCGCATTCTGAATTCAGTTGGAGGATCTTTCTGTACACAAAAGCACTGCACTACACTGCAGATTGAAGCAAGGCATATTAGAGAGACACTTCTTTGACTTTCTGCAAGTCCCTCTGGGCCGATGGATAATAATAGTTCCTTTTTTGTGGGTGAAACATACTGTACTGTGCTTTACAGTGCATTCTTTTGCTTGGATGTTCCTGACTTTGTTGTAGCATTTTTTTTCTTCCACTTTATCCCCCACCTCTATTCTTTCTCTGTCTCAGCTGTCTTTGTAAGAACAGCAGAAGCTCTTGAGTGTTTGATTAGTGAGAAGGCTGCATGGATGTAGTGATTTAAATCAGAGAGCATGTGAGCGACCGAGTGATTGAGAGCATGGTGCGAGAGGGGGGCTGCTCCTTCATCAAGCCCTTTAGTGTGGAGAAAAGGGGCTTTAATTACTCTTTGCACCAGTTTCATTAAATATCTCATTCCTGATGTAAATGTTAGTGTGGGAGCTTTACGTGCTGTACAACAGAAGATACAGAGACAGAAAATGAGAATGGGAGAAAAGAGAGTAAGCGGTCGGTTAGAAGCTGGGCTTTGCATGAGTGGATTATGTAAATCGCTGTGGATTGGGGAGACTGGGGCAAGTTTGCACATGGGGCTTTGTGTGTGTTTTCCATGGCAATAATTAAGCTGTCACGAAACACAAATAGACACAAAATGCCAGAACGATGCAGGTAGTAAAGTGTTACACACATCGAATGGTGATCAAATTGTAGTTTGTATCTGATTGATGTTTGAATGTAGTTGTTTATTTTTTTGTAAATGTCATTATTTAACATGTTTTATTAGATTATAAGTATAATGTATATGGTTTTTACAATAAAATACAATATTAAGTAAACATTTCAGCTCATTTAACACTCAGAAGGTTTAATCTGGGCCTTTAATTGTGCAAAAAGCCAAAATGTCCGTTGTATAAAGTTTATTGATGACTTTCAATGATTATAGTAATGCATATTTCTATGAAATTTGTGTTTATAGTAGGATTGTTGTTGATATAATGTATTTGTGTGTATGGAAGCCTATTGTAATTGTTTAGAGTATTGTTGCTTCATGGCTTTCCGTGCATTTTTAAGGGCATAAATGTGATCAAAAAGACACAGAACTTGTGAAAATGTAAATTTGATTCGAGTTAGAAAAGTAGGTGTGGCAAAATGGCTCTATAGCACCACCCAAACTGTTTCAGAATTTATAAATTAATATGGATTGCTTTACCAAAATCGACAGGAAGCTGGCTATATTTTAATTATTCATAAGTTTGCCCTCTATTTCCTTATGAGAAGATGAATCATTATGAATTATTTTTGACACCTAACTCTTAACATTTCCTGTGAAGTTGCAAAACCGCACAGAAGTTTGGAGTTTAGAATGTGTCACAATGTTGTTTCCATGGTGTAAAGGTGCTGAGGTGATGAAGTCAGAGCTAAACACCAACAAACAGCACGTTGACATTTCGGATTTCAACATTTAGCATTTTCAGCAAGCATTTTGCTTGAGAAAGTAACTAAAACTGGAGAATTTTGGACCTGGACATTGCAAATCAACACAGTTTGCGATGCAGTTACAATCCCACTTCAGTGACTGTTATGAGGCACTTATACTTGACATTTGTTATCGGAAGCCAAACAACACCCAAACCGCAAACTATTCTGCGCGGCTGAACACGCCCATTGTTTGCATTTTTTGATAATGTCGGGCAAATGAGACCCAAAACGGGCAGTGGTCATGGTCCTTTAAGACATATCGGATGTTAAATTGCAAAATTGCTACTTTTTAGACATCAATGTGTGCATTATGGACATCACACTTTTGCCATAAATATAAATAGCAAAATAGAGTGTGAGTGATTCTGCTGTTTTGTACCGCTCAGATGTCAAAGACTTTCAAATATTAAATAAAAAATGGGGGGTTGTCAAATATGCGAGATACTGAAGAGTATGCAAGAGATTCGTTTAAATTGTATATTGTGAAAAAAAATGTATATTGTGGATACTAGTTTACAAGGTTTATATTTATTGCCATTTATTAGGTTAAAATTAGTGGTATTTTGTTAGTTTTGCTTAGATTTTTGCCATCTCATATCTACCAGGACAGTGAAGATGCTGCAAAGCTTTTTGCAACATATGCATTTTGCATATACATATGCACAATAATCATAGAGTATTTAAAAACATATAATATCCCACACTAGTTAGAGCTCCGCGAAGACACAATAACTTCTTTTTTCTATCGATAAACAGTCTATTTTTTCACCGTATCTAGGATATTTAACAATAAATGACAGCTAGAATAACCGACTCTTGCCAACAATAACTCGTAGAGCAGTTGTTGTGTAACATAGCAACCGTATACTTCCAAAGTACAGGGAGAGACAGAAGCATTATAGCATTAGACTAGACAGGTTAGCAAATAAATCATAGTACTGGAAATATTTAATTAACTATTTAAAAATTAGCTGTTTTTTTCTTATTTACACCTCAAAACAAGCCTCCTCTACATTCACAGGTATGTAAAGCTCACCTTTATATGCCCAGTAAGAAACATGTTCTAAGTGTTTCAGCGAAACTTGTTGAATTTAGAGACTTTACGAAATAACAGACTCTAAATGCTTTTTATAGCTGGTAAGTTGAAAGATACACAGTGACACCATTTGCAGCTTGATAATGTGGGTCTTGGAGCTGGTCTGTGGGTTGACTGTGACTTTTTCACTGAGCAATTTTAAGTTCTAAATTTAGTGTTGTTATTTATGTATAATTGTAGATATCAAAAGTGTTGAAACATGGAGGTTGAAAGAGAAAATATTTATTTACTTCAACTATGGGGTTCAATAACTCCCATTCTACCTTTGTACTGGGAATAAGTCCTCTCACACAGATGTGGTTTATTTATTTATTCATTCATTTTCTTCACTCACTCCTTCATTTTTAGGGTCACTGGGTTCTGCTAGTGTATCTCCAGCGCACTTGGGCAAAAGCCCGGGGTATACCCTCGACAGGTTTTCAGTCCTTCACAGGGCAACACACAAATTCAGCCCTAAGGGCAATTTAGAGAACTCAATGAACCTGTCTTGTGGGGGAAACCCTGGCACAAGATATTTCCTCTTACAAGACCAGCAACCTTCTTACTGAAAGGCAAAAGTGATACCCACTGCATTACTGTGCTGTCCTAGAGATGTTTATATTAAAAAAATACATATTGCAGTGAAAATTGTGTTATTTCATCCAAAGAGACATTAACTCTGACCAATATTGTCAAAAGTGATAGTGACGATGATTGATGGTGATAAGAATAAAACTATTTCATTAGCGTTGTTTGCTTAGATGGGGTGGTATTACAGTTAATTCTCTTTTCTCATATATCCATTTGTTACAATGCAAATAGATGGAAAACTGCAGCAGTTTGCACTGTGAGAAAAAAGATGTGGGGTTCCATTATTTCATTATAAAATCAATATAAGTGAATTGACTCTTCAATTTAAATATAAAGTAGCAAGTATAATCGGATCCCTGGGATTTTAAAATCCATCTGAACAATAATAAAAACTTCCATTTTGGTCTAGAATTATTTCTTTTTCTTTTTATTACTTGTATAAAGAATGCACGTTATCTGTTTGAACAAAATACAGCTGTGGATCAGAAAGTTGTGTAAAGGACAGAGGAGGGCAAAGCATTTCTTTTATGGGCTGAAAATGTGACATAGGTCCCAGAGGAATCATCAGCGGATTCTTCAAATTGATAATCACTATTTCTCATTACTGCAACTTCTTGCGATTTCCTCG